CCGCCTAAGAACCAGATTATGGTTCATAGTTAATCGAAGTATCCCAATCAAATATTACTACAAGTGATGTGAATGTGAAACGACTTGAGCGAATTCTCCCGTGACTAACCAAGTGAGCCGTAATTTGTCTTCCTCTGTGCAGTATAAATTACATCACTCCTACTAGTATGGTGCATTTGTCTGTGTTTACAGCTAAGGGATGAAAACAGGCTGCATCCAAAGATATCTTTTTAAAAATGATAAATAGTCTGACCCCTTATCTCCTGTTTTATTACTATTTCAGCTATATTTTATGTATATCCTAATTTGTTTTTTTTTTTTTTTTTGTACTGTATATATTACATCACTCCTATCCGGATTTGCTGCATTCGATCTGTGTTTACAGCTAAGGGATGAAACCAGATTGTATCCAAAAAGATTTTCTTAAAAGTGATAAATAATCTGATCGCTTATCTCCTATTCTATTATTATGACAGTTAAATTTCATGTATATTGATGCTCGTTCATCTTCCATTGCTAGGTTTTTTCGTTTATATTGATTATTACCTACACGTATAATTTGTCGCCAAAAATAAACTGTTAAATTACATCTTCGGATCAAAAATATCTTTAAAAAATTAGCACCAAAATTGCTGTTTCTACAACAAAATGTAAAGATGAAATCGCGTCACCTGGATTAGGAACATCAATCCCAAGGCTTCTTAGTTCATGACCAGGGTCGGTTAGTCCCCAAAATGGGAGATGTAAAGGCGAAGCCTTTGTCTTGCCTCCCTCCTCCTCCGCCTAATCGGAATTATTGGGCTACCTTTTCTTCCTATATTACTATTTTTTTACCTTTTTCCAACTATTCTAAATTTAACACAATAGCAAAAACTCTCCCTTTTCCTTTCTTCTTTTTCTTCCCTTCCATTCCTTCTCTTTTCTCATTCCTGAACACCACCACCGTCATACTGACTAGGTCCAGCGCTGAGCTAAGTCTTATATGACTTAATGGACCGAAACGTCTTAACTCATTGATACTCAGTTCTTTCACACCAACTCTATTTCTACATCTATCCATACTCAGTTTGCTTCATGCCTATCCTCCCTAAGCTTCTAATATCTACTTGCATGTTACAATCAGCTTATATAAAAAAAAAAAAAGTAATATGAGCCCATACCATTCATAATATTCCGAAATCTTTTTTTGAGTGGAAAGAGGATTGTTCCGATAAGTGTTGCCCAAAGTAGTGGTGTCAGGAACATGTACATCATTCGATAGACTGCATATAAACCGGCCAAACATATTCCTGCCTGAAAAAAGAAGAAAAACTATCTTCTATACTATCTATCTTATAAATTAAACTATCTTGTAATTTATAAAAACCATCGAATTTATAGAAAAAAAAAACTATCTAGTGCTATTTTTCATACAGGGGAACGTTCCTGGAATTTTTCAGGCATCAAAACAAAGATTTACGGGATTTCCTGTGATATGAACTGGGGAACCTTCCTTAATAAGCTTCAGGGTGCAAGCTAAATGTGTTTCTGAGATTCTTCCCAGGGTTTTTAGGTTACGTACTAACCAGAACAAGCAAGAGGACACTGAAGTTTTTTTTTTCAACTAATTTACACGTACTATCTTTCTAGAGGCCGAACAAGTTCCTTTTTAACGATCAACTTTCACTAACCCTGTCATCAAAGAAAATAAAGCCTCTTTTCCGCTCAAGAACACAAATAACAGCCCTCACAATACTCATCAAACAGGGTATTTAGTCAGTCATTAAAATACACTCCAAGCATTCTTCCCTCCATTGCTCTCTTCCGTCACAACCAGTGCTCGCTCTTCTGCATTCGCTACTGACCATGTTTCGCATCCGTATGTCACAGTGCTGTCAGAGCACTTTCGTCAAAGAGAGTAAAATCTCCTTTTCCTCTCAAGAACACAAATAACAGTCCTCATAATGCCCATCTAACATGGTATTTAGTCAGTCATGAAAATACACTCCAAGCATTCTTCGCTCCATTGCTCACTTCCGTCACAACCAGTGCTCGCTCTTCAACTTTCGTCATTGACCATGTTTCGCATCCGTATGTCACAGTGCTGTCAGAGCAATGAGAAAAAGCAGAAAGAGATTTTTCCACAGAGTTTTTAAGATAAGTACCAACCAGGACAAGTAGGAGTACATTGTAGAAAGCGAATTGCAGTGCCACTCGTCGATCGTCGCTGCTCGATGTTAGCTGCTCAACCAAACTCATCCTGAAAATGCGCCTTCAAGTTCAGTTACACACAAAAAATTTTTCTTGCGAGTAGCATAAATATGACGCAAAATTGTGAAATTTTGTCGCCGAGTACCACGGGCCCAATTTGCTGAGGAACGAAAAATATCGCAGTACGAAGGAATCAAATAACGGGGAAAAACACCACGGTCTTTCTTTTGCAAAGTATATGACGCTTGGAGGAGCTTTAAATCTGGAACTACTAAAACTCGGCTCGGCTCGTCTCGGGAGACGAATTGCAATAATGGGGAGGGGGGGGGGGGGGGGGGGGGGGGGGGGG